ATCTGGCTAATCTACATGCCTCCGTCGAAGGAGGCATGTAGTCTAGACACACCCTTACAGTGTTCCTGCCCCACTGCCAGATTTCCCTGTTCCTGGGCTCTGTGATCCAGGAATATCTGTAGTCCATACCAGACCTCTGATACTGCCAGACCAGGGACTCCCAGTTAAGGGAAGCACAACCTGTAGTATTTGTTGCTTTTTGGAGAATAATGGTTCTATATTGACAATATTGGCTCACGCAAAAGGACATTTGGAACTTCTCCTTAAGTGGCTATAATATTCACCACTTAAAATGTGCAAACAAAACAATTTAAAGTCTTACAATGATCCACTATAGAACATTATGGTGTCCTCATCATTCCAATCAAAGTATCTATTTACAGGGAGAAATATGAACATTTACATTACCTTTGTACATTTTTCTTTAACTTTCCCCTTTTCAGGACAAATATTAAAATGTGCTGTCTTGTGGAAGCTGAATATTATTGGAAGTGACTCTGATTCATTTCTGAGTGTGCATATAATCTCTGTGTGTTCACCCATGAAACAGTCCATAAAATTAACAATTGGTCCTGGACTGAAAGTTAACATGACAGGAAGCCCTGAGCCTGTCAAAGCCAACTCCACATGATGAGGATGAGTCTCTGCACAAGAGAGTCAGAAACGCGCATAAAATACAATAATGAATTAAAAAAAGACATGAAACAATTTTAGACACTTACAATCCACAAAAAAAGTGTAAAATAAAATTCTGTTCTAATACATGTTTCAGATTGTTAATATGATTTACCACAAACTTAATGCAAAATGCACGTTTATTTATATAGGCTAACACATAATTTAAAACCCTCTTGGTTTATTAAAATTGGGATTAATTGATATCCATATGGAAAAGCACAATCATTTTAACCTAACCATAACCATTAGTGATTTGCAAGCCTATTTTTAAATTAATCAAAGCTACAATTAAATACTAAATACTTGCAAACAAAAGGTACATTCGTGACATAAATGATTTTACATGTATCATCCCTTTCCTCTCCTCCCCACTAATTAGAAACCATAAAGTCAGCTCTGCCCTTTTCCTCACTATTTGTGGCATTCAGCACCAATTCTCTTAATTTACATGTGAAGTTCTCCATAACAAACATATAAGTCCCCTTTAAAATTACTAATTTAAAGATGTGGAAAAATTAAAACTTCAAAATCTTCCATATGAAAACTATATATTTCTGATAACATACCTTTGATGAGTATGTTGTCACTATTCAGAGCCCGCAGAAAGCCATCTTTACTCCCTAAAGCCTCAAATCTCAAAAACAGTGCATAATCTTGTCTAGGTGGAAATTCATTAAGTCCAACATCTCTTTTAAACTGCCTGTAAAATTCACAATCTTTAAATACCATATATACAATTACTAATCAATTAATCATCAGTTCATTTGATTTCTCCAATATTCCTTTTACAATTCAGACAAAAGTTGAACACCGTACTAAAAAGGATGGAACTACTCACATATAGCAGTCTGCAGCTTAATGTCTCACAAATAAACTATAATGACATGTAGGCAAAGAAGCCCTGTAGCTGCACTACACAAAGCCTGCAGTGATGGTTCTGTTCTTTCAAATTACCAAGTTGACATTACTCTAGTGACATTCAACTTAAAGGAAGTTACCAAACTTGAAACAGTGGGAGTCTCACATCCATTTTTCCATATTCAATCAGGGGAAGAGGGAATCAGTTCCTCTACAGAATAATTCCCTTTTTGTTGCCCAGAAAAACAAACAAAAAAGTTATCCAACTTTCTGGTTGAGGAGGTAAATCTGAGCAAATAATTAACTACTTCACAGGTAGGAAGGGTTTTTTTTTTCTAGTATTGTCAATAGTGTCAGGATGACAAGTTACTATAGAACATATGCATACACGCTGGCATGCATACACCAAATCATCAGTTGCTGTAGTGTGCTGCATTTTCAATGGGGAATACAGCAAGCACTACAAACTTGAAGGTGAGAAACTACTCTAATTCAAGAGATTACCTGGATGAAAAATGGAGGGAGGACATTGAAAGCTTCTGTCACCAAAATTTTTAGCCAGCTAGAAGCATTTTTTAAAAATTGAACAGTAAATCAAACCTTCTTGTCTTAGTTGTTCTGTGATTACTTTGAAGAATGAACTAAAGGAAATTTGTAAATTTAGTCTGGGAAAAATGTATACATCTTTATTTATCAAACACAAATGTGTTCTTTTAACTAATGTATTTTCAACTCTGTATATAAGAAATACGGTTAATAATTTCATTTTAAACTGTCCATAAGCAGTAAACTAGCATTAATCTGTGCACATTGAGAGGAAATAATTTGAGACATCAGGGTAAATTTAAGATATGTAACACAGCTGCAAATAGATTTGCCTGCACTTATATTAATTACATCTTTTATTGTATCAGCTTCTTAAGGTTGAACAGTATACTAACTTTGGACTAAAGCACAGCGTAATCAGAATTTTCTGATAAGGTAGTAAGGTTCCTTGGTTGGGAATACAGGAGATTAAAGTTGAAACATCTAGCTCTTTGGTTCTATTTATGAAGTTCACTTCTTGTAAAATAGCATCAGTACTCTTCTGAAGTTGTGTTCCCTGTAAAAACACCAAAATGTGAAATATACTTATAAGTCTGTCAATTTCCCCTTTTTTGTGGATTTTTCACACAGCAACAAGAAACAGAAGCACAAAATGCTTAAGTAGGAGGAAAACACAACACTATAATCTCTCTCTCAATTTCTACTGTAAAAGCCACAGAAATTAGTGGGGAGATATGAAATTAATTGGCTTTCTTTTTTTTTAAAGTTGACAATTTCTTGTTGGTATGAAAATGTTACTTGATAGTCCTGCTATTGGACAAATCTTTCAGCAACTGTACTGACCAAAAGAAGAGCAAGGTAAGGGACATCAAAAAAAAACTGAGAAGAAAAAGCAGTCATCAAAAACATCTTTGCGCTGAAATTATATATTACAATTTTTTCCTTACCATCTCTCCTCCAACAGCATCGTCCTCTAGCACTGCCACCCACTTCATGGTCTCTGGGCTTTTATTGTACAAAATCACTTTTTCAGTATTTGAAGTTCCAAAATAGACAGATCCAAAATGAATACATTCTAGTGTGTTTCCATAAGGTATACCTAATAATTCAAGAACCTGTTCAACTATATGAGCTTCTATCGTTACATTTGTGATACCACGACCCTGCAGCTCCACTCTGTTGGAAAGAGCAATAGAGAAAATGAGAGGTACATATCTAAAATTAATTCAAGAATAAGCCATGAATTTTATTGAAACTTCAGTTTACATTCTCTGATATAACTGACTAAATCAAAGGCTCATAGTAAACAAACTAATCACACTGGCACAAAAATAAACAAAGAGATTAAGTTCCATTGTAAGTTGTGTTCTTTGAGTCCATTGTTTCAGCAGAATCATTGTGGAAGAATCTCACTCAGGGCACTGCAGCGGTTGGGGGTTGAGCAGTACCCGCAGTTCGGAGGTGGGTGAAAACCATGTCCCTGGAGCCTTACATTCTACTTGCTGAGAATAGAAAAACTCAGCCTCCAATTTTGCTGGATCTGAAGATTTTAAATCCTTAAATAACTGAACCATCTTAGGTGGATCATAGCTAGTGATGTCCTTTAACAGGATTGGTCTTGTCTGAGGATCCTGGTTCAAAGCCAAGGAACAGGACAACCTAGTTTATTTGGGCCAGAAAGCTGCCTCCTCAAAAGTGCTTTTCTTGGACTCCTGAACTAAGAGAACTGATCATTAATTGTTCCTATCCTTCAAGTTCTTGAAGACAAGACTTTACATGATGTACAACCGCTCAAAGAACTGGAGAAATGGCATGCCTGTTAACAATAACATTTGTCTGAATAAATGTGGCACTATTTGCTCCAGGTCCACTCTGGAAGGTGAGATCCACAACTTGAAATTAGAAAAAAAACGTTATTAAACTAACTTTCTTTGTGCTAATCAAAGTCCTAGCTTTAAAAAAAAAATCTTTTTTAAAACTCTATACAAAAGGAAGAGCTACTGTAGTTTCATTTAAAAATATTTATTTTTTGAAAGATTCTACTGATCTCAGAGATTCAACACACTTTAAGTGGGAATACTAATGGAACCCTTAGTGTCTCTCAAACCTGCAAAGATTATTTTTAAAATACATCCTCTATAATTATTCCACTAAAAGAGAAAGGACCAGGTTCCACACATCGCATCAATTTGCAGAGACAGGAACCAACGGTGCAAGAGTATGATGGGGTCAAAAAAACGTTGGGCTACAGAGCCATGCATCCATGGACTGTCAGTGTTGTTTTTAAAAGTTCTGTAGTGTTGCCAGGCACACAATTCCTACAGTTTTGCTCTGTGGCGCTAATATCATCAGCAAAACTATTTAATGAAGCAAACTCTTGGGCAACTAGGGGAACAGCAAATGATGTCTGGGAAGCTAACTTCTTGACACATTATGGTTCCACTTATTCATTATTTGGATAACTATAGCTATCCTGAAGAGATTTTTGAAATAATACAGGACATTAAAAAATTATTCAAAATGAGAAAACTTTATGCTGACACTTACTTTGCCACTTCCCTAATGACTCTTGGTATATCTGTACAGATATCCACTTTAACCAACTGTAATGTTTTGGGTTCCACCACTCCACTGGTAGGTACTATGTTAACAGGAACACTTCTGTTATAGTCTATTTTAAATGCACCTACGATTAATATAATATTATATGTTACATATAACATTTAAATAGATAATTAGTGAACAGTCAACACTTAGAATAAACTAAATTTCATAAATAGTACATAAAATAACTTATAAAAATTAAATTGTATAGTAACTATAAGTTGCAAAAATCTTCATCTAACATTTAAGACTTGTGGGTTTTTCGGCTTTCCTCAAATTTCAGATGCCAATATACAATGCCCTCATACCGTTATAGTTGCAATATACAAGGTAATCACAAAATGACCCAAACTAACTGTATTACACAACAGCTATTAGCAACACTTTGTACACAAGGCAAATTTGAAACATAGCCCCTTTAACTGTAGTAGCCAAATATTTAAGAGCTTAACCAAAGAGAAATCTATTGTCTCCTTCTGTGCAATTGACAACTGTGTATGTATGTAATGTAATATACCACAAATGAGAAAAACTTAAGCACATCTGTAGAATACTTTTTTTTTAAATTAACAATTTGAACAATAGAGTAGATAAAAGGATGTATTCCTGTCATTATGACAAGAGAATCCATGCCAAATGGCCTATAATACTTAGTTCTGCCATGAGTACAGGGAACTGAACTAAATGACCTCTCAAGATTCCTTCCAATTCTACAATTCTATGATTCTGAGATTTTTAACAAAATGCAGAACAAAATAATGCTTGGTTACTCACGTTTTATGTTCATTGCCAGCATGGAATCAGGACACATGTAATCTACCCTCTCAGTCAGAAGCCAAGGTACACCCTCACCTCCACTGACATTACTGTAGTGTCTGGATACTGCCACTCAACCTCATTTGCAGAGAGTATTAGCGCCAGTATTAGCTCTCACATAATCCTGGATTTAGTGATCCATTCCTTGCCTACCCTCAATATTGTACTTTTGCACCAGCTTATACAAAGGCACCTCCACATTCCTAATCCTACATCAGCAACTCATCTAGCACCACAGAACTTAAATGGTGAAGAAAGAGATAGATAGATAGATAGATAGATAGATAGATAGATAGATAGATAGATAGATAGATAGATAGATAGATAGATAGATAGATAGATAGATAGATAGATAGATAGATAGATAGATAGATAGATAGATAGATAGATAAAAATGGTGAAGAAAGCTATGGTTCTTCTACACCAGCCTCAACTTCACTTCATGTGAATTATGTATATGCTCAAAACTGATTAAGGATCAGCACTTTTAACACAAGTGCTTCTGTTCTGGGAGATACATGAGCATTTGTTAGTAATGGCTGATTTAAAAAATAATACACATATTATATATTAAGTTCCAGGCTCATAGTAGTCAAAAAAATGAAACAAAAACAAACATATGAAATCTGTGTACACTCAAAGGCTGCGCCTAGACTGGCATGATTTTGCGCAAAACCAACCGCTACCTGTCTATACTGGCCGCGAGTATTTGCGCAAGAACACGGACGTTGTAATGTACAAAATCAGTGCTTCTTGTGCAAATACTCTGACGCTCCCACTCAGGGGAGAATACTTGCGCAAGAATACCAGTGTAGACAGCAATGTTAATTTCTTGGGCAAGAAAACCCGATGGCTAAAATGGCCATTGGAGCTTTGTCGCGCAAGAGAGCGTCTACACTGCCACAGATGCTTTTGCACAAAAGCAAATCTTTTGCGCAAAGGCACATGCCAGTATAGACGCTCTCTTGCGCACATACTTTTAACGGAAAAACTTTTCCGTTAAAAGTATTTGTGCAAAATCATGGCAGTCTAGACGCAGCCAAAATGGTTAGTAAAAACAGCTCCTAGCATTAAACATTTTACTCAGTAATGATGCTAGCAGGAAAGAAAGATAGTAACATCAATATTTTTCCCCTAAAGAGTATTTGTCAAGGTTATAGTGCAAAATATAAAGGAAAGGCTATTTACTCTGAACTGGGAGTTCCTTCATCTAAACGAAATGTAAAACCAACAATAGTATTAACTTAAAATAAATAAATACAAACATATAAATATATAATAATTATGTCTGTTTTGTAAAATGTTTTCTTTAGAACAGAACTCTCTGGGGGAACAAAGGTGAGTAAGTGTGATCTATCACATAATATATGTTCTGGGAAATTACAGTTAAAAGTAAACAATTTACAGCACCATTAGTTTTCCCAATTTAGAAGAATAAAATGCAGCAAAGACATCTCTACAAAAAACACACAACCAATTACAAATTTCAGTAGACACTTAGGCTGTGTCTACACTGGCGCAATCTTGCGCAAAAGCAGCTGCTCTTGCGCAAGAACACGTGGCTGGTGTAGACAGGCAGCAAGTTTTTGCGCAAGTAAATTGATGTTCTAATGTATAAAATCAGGGCTTCTTGCACCAGAACTCTGATGCTCCTGCTCAGGAATAAGCCCTTTTGCACAACTGTTCTTGCGCAAGAGACCAGTATGGACAGGCAACATGAATTTCTTGTGCAAGAAAGCCCTATGGATAAAATGGCCATCAGAGCTTTCTTGCTCAAGAGAGCGTCTACACTGGCATGGATGCTCTTGTGCAAAAGCACATCTCTTGCGCAAAAGCACATTCCAGTGTAGACGCTCTCTTCTGGAAGAGTTTTTGCAGAAGAACTCTTCGGCAAAAGAGTTTTTGTGTGAGAACGCACCAGTGTAGCTGTAACCTCTGAATATGCCCCTTACAAAGCAGTTTTGTTCCAGAATATAACAAACTACATTGTATGATAGAAGATCTACAGTATATATTTTCATAGATTGCCACTGTAGTAGGGAACTACACTGTCACAGGGTCACTGAACTAGGGCACTTGGTGGGACAAAGCTTTAGTGTGTACACTGACAAAATGAGATCGACATGAGCTGCCTTACTCCATACCTAACAGTGTAGTATAGACAAGGCCCCAGTCTAAACTCAAGAGTAGGAGGACTACTACAAATGTATCTTTGGATAATCAGAAATCTTACAGCTACCAAAAGTTTTACATGAACTCCCCTCTGAGCAGTTCCACAACACCTCACTACTGAGCTTAAGAGTCTGAGGGGACTTTTATAAAGCCAGCAACTGTACACTCACAGTCCTGTTCAAATCAAAGATTTATTTTCTCCTGAATAAAATTTTAAACTCCTTTGTCACTGAAGTGTTAAATTGCACAAAAACTACATTTTCAAAATAAAAATCAAATCTTTATGTAATTTATTGCATAGTGATATTTACCTGGAGATGATCCATGGTTAGTAATACTAATCTCTTTACTAATTACTTTACTGTTTGCAATCACTGTGCCAAAATTAATCTCCGGTTCAATTTCCAGATAACAACATGGAATTAATCTACAGAGAAAAGATACTTTAATTATTTTTCCCAGAATTTCAAGTATTTTGTAATTTTTAAAAGGAATATATTTGAACAATGCAATGAAAAAAAATCTGTATTCCTCCTGATTCCATTAATAACACAATTAGTTATACAACTCACATCAGCAGTATTGTGAATACATGGAAGACATAAAAAAAAGACCTACTTATTAAGCTGTCCATCTGGGTTTTTTTTTTATTTTTAATTACTGTAACTTTAATTTAATTTAATTCCAGTCAATGAGCTGAAATAAAATGAAGCTATAAATTACATTTTAATTCCAGTGTTATGGCACAAGACCTTAATATAAATTATCTAAAAATATTTCACTCATTTGTGTTAATTCCAGCATAAAAGTACTTAAGATAAAGATAAGCCACATTTTAATAGTAGCTGGCCAAACTAAAATTTATCAAGATGTGAACATCTTAGTGAAACAAAATTTATGGAATTTTCAGTCATAACAATCTTCTTTATTTATGAACATACATCATGTAGTTTCAATAATAAAAAAAGCTGATGAAATCATGTTAAAATTATTTTTTCAGGTCTCCATTGTACTAGGCACCACACTAACCTGACCCAAATTTAAGCATCCCAAACCTTCAGTAGATTATGTGCAGACTCCTGCATTCAACAGCAAACTATCCCAATGTGGAAAAAAAAAGGATAAGAAAAATAGTAAGAGACCAAAAAAGCTTCTAATTGAGCCATAAAATAACGTATATACAGTAAAACTCTGATGGTCCGGCACTCCTGATGGTCCGGCACTCCTGATGGTCCGGCACTTAAGCATCCCAAACCTTCAGTAGATTATGTGCAGACTCCTGCATTCAACAGCAAACTATCCCAATGTGGAAAAAAAAAGGATAAGAAAAATAGTAAGAGACCAAAAAAGCTTCTAATTGAGCCATAAAATAACGTATATACAGTAAAACTCTGATGGTCCGGCACTCCTGATGGTCCGGCACTCCTGATGGTCCGGCACCATCAGGAACCCGGAAGTGCTCCGGGCAGCCGGACTATTGGAGCTGCTCTGCCCCCAGTTTCCCCGATTCAGCCGCTGCTAAAACTGACCAGTGGCTGAATCGGAGAAGCCGGGGGCAGAGCAGCTGGGGTGCTGCCGGGGTGGGTTTGGAGCGCCCCACCTGCTGT